GTGGAATCTTAAGAGTGAAGATGAAATTTGCCAAAAATTTTAAGGGCTAGCATGTAACCTTGGGGAGTAGTTACGATATTGTTTGTGTGGGTCATACCTGGATACATATTTTCTGTGATGCATAAATTACAGGGACCTGAAATTGGAAGGAATGCCTAACAATTCAGGACTAATGAAGATAGAACTATTCAGATTATTCCTTTCTAAACCTTTTTTCCCCCTCATCTGTAATCTGGAGGGAAAATAATAGTACTGACCAAAGTTATCACTAAGATTAAATAAAACAAAGAAGGTTAAACACACAACACAGTGCCTATCAATAAATGTTAACTGTTAACTTATATTATGGCCTCTGAGGTGCATGGTCAATGTGAAATTAAGGGAAAGGATATCCTTAGAGATTGGTGAGTTATAATCCCTGGAAACTTTGAAAATAAAGAATTTATGATAGCTAATATTTTAAATTTTTTGGGTTCCTGGAAAGGCTTGAGGGAGAGAGTGATTTAGAGTATTTAGAGCCATGGAAGTTTGGGGTTTTAGTGTTTCATCATTTGGTTAATTGGGACAATTTTGTTATGCTCGTTTGTTTTTCTTAGAAGTTTTTAAATTTCATTTTTTATTCCATTACCCAATAGTTTTTAAGTAAGGGGTTATTCAGTTTTCATCTATTTTCTCCCTTGATCTTCCTATTGTTGATTTTTAATTTTATAATGTGCTCTAAGAAGATGCTTTGTAATATACATGTCTATGACATCAAGTTAGTTGTGTTGCTTACTTCTTTTGTCTTTGTTGAGTTTCTTTCTAGTTCTGTCCTTCATTGAAAGTGGTGTATTAAATTCTCCTACTACTATCGTAGAGTTGTCTATTTCTGTCTTCAATCCTGTGTTTGATTAATAATGTTTGGGGGGGCTCTTTCATTGTATGCATGGATATTTCTTATGGTTATGCCCTTTTGATCAATTGACTAATCATTATATAATGCTTTTCAGTGTCTCTTATACCTGATTTTGCCTTAAAATCTGTTTTTATCAGTAATGAATATTGTGTTAGACTCCTTTTGGTAGCTGGTGGTGGCCTCAGGTTGAAGAACCATGGCTCTTGCTAAATCATTTTTCATTAAAGTCAGTTGTTTTTTTTTTTGTATCACCCCCTTCTGAATTGTCCTAAAGATTAAAAGTCAACATGGCATGATTGCTTTTGTTTGGAAAGTTTTTGTTGTCTACCCATCTCTTAAACCCTCTAATCCTTGTAGAGTGTAGGCCCGAGCCTTTCTGAGGAAATTGACACCCCTATACGTAGCCTCACATCAGGAAATGAATGAATTGAGATACATTTTTTGTAAAATTGTTACAAGCTGTTGGGATGAAAAAGGTCGTTCTTAGGTCCTGACTGCAATGTTTCAATTTGAAATGCTGCCCACTGGGAGAGTACAGTTGAATTGTGTGTCTGAAAAATACCCGAATTGCTTTTTAAACCATGGAGGTTTAGCTTTACAGGCAAATAAATGTACTTTGATAAGCCAGACCTGTCTGGCTATTAAGTTATTTCTTGTGCTCTGATTTGGTAAGAGTGGATACTCTTTATGTAAACCGTTTTTTTATAAACTAGTACCCAGTGCACTTGGTTCAGAGTTGATATTTTTTAGTTGATGTGTTACTTCAGAAGTCAGGCACTCAGCTGTGCATAGATTCAAACCTTAGTGAGAGATAGTATTGTAAAAAGGTGTAGTACATATTCATTATATTTACACTAACCAAAGTGACTGGAGACTTCAGAAATTAGCATTGGGGTTACAGACTAGTGATATCGAGGCCCCTATTGAAGTTAAATTTCTGGGCTGGGAATATCAAACATGTACATAAAAACTCAAACCCACTGCTAGTGAGTCAATTCTGACTCAAGGAGACTCTATAGGACAGAGTAGAACAGTCCCCTAGGCTTTTCTAGGTTGTGAATGATCAGAAAAGCCAACTGCCTCTTCCTTGTCCCTAGGAACAGCTGGTATGTTCAAACCACCAACCTTTCAGTGACGTGTCTCATGTACCACAAAGCTTCCTTGTATAGATGTATATTTTAAAAGTTCAACAGCTCTTCTCACATGCTTGGTGGTCACATTACTGCTGCAGGGGAAAGGACTTTGGCTTTTACTGTTGATGCCTCTGGGGGAATCCCTGTATCTCCTTAGCTAGGGAACTTTTTTCTCTTTGCCATATCCAGGTAGAACTCTGTTCTATGCTTTAAATATTATGTAATTCTTAAGTGTCTTACTACACACTCAGGATTCTCCTCAACTCTGCTGTTTCATTGCCCAACCCATAGGGTTCTTGTGTTGGGGATAATCTTTTAGGAATATAGCTCTAATACTCTGAGTTTTCATTATCACATTAGTTAGAATTGATTACTTCCATTGAAGTTCCTATACAAAGGCTGGCTTGTGTTTTAAGGACTGTTCCGATGAAAAATATGTTTCCATAAATACTGGAATTACTTTAAGCCGAGTGAGATATTTTTGCACTGTGAGAGGCAAATAGGAATGGAGACCAGATTCGGGTCTGTTCAAGGCAGTTTCAGTTGCCCATCTCCAGCTCCCTCCAGAGCGTGTTGTACGTGGCATACAATGGTTCTCTGAGGCCAGAACCACTCAAATAGTTCTTTCTTGTTTGCCAGCCACATGTAAGTTATTTGGTTGTATTAGATATAGGAAGGGACAAGCAAAAATGAGTGAGAAATATGCAACCAAAAGATCATGGAAACAAGACTATTTCCGTAAAATAACCTTAAGGCCTTCCCTTGGGAACAGTAGATCAACTGGTATCCTCTTATCAACATAAACATCCCTGAGCTTAGTCTCTCAAAGGCCCAGGGTTTTTGGCAGATCTCTTGAGATACACCCAACACTCCCACTTTATAACCTTCTCTGACTTTCAGCTGGACTCTAAACCTTACTTTAGAAAATGTTATTGTTTTAGTTATTTTTCATTGTTTCTGAAATTTACTTTTACATTTGTTGTTGGTCTTGTTGTTTGTTTATTTTTGTCTTGTTTTTAAACAGATGGGATTTTGTCTAGTTAAACAGATATAAAGAGGGCTCTTCTCGTCGTCTCCAATTAAAAATGGTTGTTGCTGTTGTGTGCCACTGATTGATTCCGACCCATAGCAAGCCCAAAGAACAGACAGAGTAGAAATGCTCCATAGGCTTTTTGTGGCTGCCATCTCTACCAGAGCAGAGTGCCAGCTCTTCTCTTATGCAGAGCAGCTGGTGGTTCCAGTGGCCTTCTCTGACCATTCCATTGCTCCAGCAAGACTCCTTAATTGGAAGTAATTAACCAGGTAAAAGTAGTCATTTTTTATGTATTCTGCCAGGGGCATGGCTTAGTCTGGACATAGTATTAGCTAAATCAAGAGATCCACTGTGCTAATTTTGACACTGAGGTTTTACACATACCGTAGTTCACATTTGCTATTAGCTACTGCTTAGAGATGACAGTGCTGTCAATAGCATTTATTTTTAGCCTGTGCTTGTTCAGGCAGCTCTAGGACAAGACACTGCAATTGTGCTATTGCACTGGAGAGACAGAAGTCTTCATCTTTGAAGAGCTGAGTAGCAATGATTCTGGGCGGAGGCCAATACAGCATCACACACAGGGAGAAAAGTATAGTTTGCCTCGTCTTAGAAAGCACTTTGGCCAGGACAGAGCTCCCAGAAATAGAAATTCTAAGCTTATTGACCTGGGAAACTCTGCGTGCCTCTTTAAAATGTAACCTGCCCCACATATTTTGTGAATTGGGATGACTTTACAAAAGGAGTAGGGGCAGGATCCAAAATGAAAACAAATCCTTTGTTGCTGGGTCGATTCCAACTCTTTTTTAAAAAAGTATTATTAATTGGGAGTTAATACACATATATCAGATCATTTCATAGTTCAGATTCCAACTCTTAGGGACTCCTATAGGATAGTCATAATCCCTGCTCTTGTCAAATTTATATTCGGATGGTAGAAACAGGTAAATGAGTTTGCATAACAAAATTTGAAAGTTATGATCACATAGTGGAAGCAAGTGGAGCCAGAGGGCATCAAGAGTAGGATCAGGGAGGATTTCTCTTTGAAAGTGATGGTTAAACAGGGTCCTAAAAGGATGAATAGGCCTTAAACAGGTGAAGGGAGAGAGGACAATAGACTTTGTGTCAAACAGGTAACATGAGTATGGGACAGTAGGAGAACTGGAAAAAAAAAAAAGGTTTTTTGTGACTGGAATGTGAGAGATAGAATGGAGGTGTGTGAGGATGGGGTGTAGGCAGGGGTTAGATAGTAGAGAAGCTTAAAAGCGTTAAGGAGTTTAGATTTCATGCTGAGGTCTATGGAAAGATACTTTTCTTTTCACTGCCATAGAGTCAATTTTGACTTATAGCAACCTTATAGGTCAGAGCAGAACTACTGTGGGTTTCCAAGACTGTCACTCTTTACAGAACACAGTTTCATCTTTCTCCCTTGGAGTGGTTGGTAGTTTTGAATTACGACCTTGCTGTTGACAGCCCAACAAATAATCCTGTGCCATCAAGGCTCCTCTCATGGAAAGATATCAGGAGGTCTTTTTTCTTCATTTTTTGAGGATTAGGGTCATTACTTTTTCACTTTAAATCTTGATGCCACCTAGAGAGCTTATGGGAAACTTAATATGAAGGCAATTGAAGGTGTTGACATAAACCTGTTAAGAACGATGGAGGCCTGAATGAGATTGGTTGTCTTGATTTCTTAGTGTGGCTATAACAAATATCACAAGTGGTGGCTTCGTAGAATCAATTTGTTTTCACATGGGCTAGGAGGCCAGACAGTTCAGATTCTGGGTACCAGCTCTAGGGAAAAGTCCTTGTCAGTTTTCAATCTGTGTCTTTTATTTTCAAGTGTGCCGGTTTTAATGGAAGTTGTGTACAAGATATTTTGCTCTTGTATCTTCTCAAGTGATTCTTCCTTGTATTTGCCCTTTTCCTTTCCTACTTGTCAAGATTTGGCTTTCTGTTCCAGGATCTTTTTGCGGTCTTTGTCCAGTTTTAACCTCATAATAATCACCCAGCTGGGGTAAATGCCCACATGGACGGTGGTGTGGTTCGCTTTATCTCGCTGTACCCGCTCAATGTAGATGAAGTATTTCTTCCTGTAAACCTGGACCACTTTGCCAATCTGCTGACCTTTGTAGTGTCCTCGCACAACCTGAACTTTATCATCCTTGCGGATAGGCATGGACTGAACATTGTATTTCTGTCTCAGTTCCTTGGAAAGAGGGGAAGACATAATTTCCCTGCGAACATGGGAAGGTGCATTGAAATGCCTTTTCCGGTTTTTGGTCCGGGATCACAAAGGGATTGGACTTCATTTTGGCCACTACTTCTTCAGTGATGGCCCCAAAAGGGAAAAGTCAATTTCTGTGTCTTGATTTCTGTGTCTTGGTGATCTTCCTGTGGCATGTAGCTTCCCCTCCCTTTATGCTTGTATCTCTGTTCCTTCACTGCTCTTTGGATACTGCATAGGAAATTGGCTTAAGACACTCTCCATACTGATAACTCCTCATTAAAGCAACAAAGAAATTATTCTAATAGGATTTCACCCACAGGTATAAACCAAATTCCTTGCCATCAGTCAATTCTGACTCATAGTGATCTAGGCCACCAAGGCTCCTGCCACAGATAAAGAAGTTTGGAGTTATAGCACACTTTTGGAGGGGGACACACATGATCCATAACAATAGTAGGTAGTAATACAAAAAGAGCAAAGTGAGTGAGTTTGAAAATTTCCTTCATTAACCAGCACCTTGGTCATTGATTTCATGTTGGGGTGAAATTGGAAGAGGCTTGACTAGGGTTTTGCCTTGAGCCACCTTACTGATAGAGGTAACATTGGGAAGAGGGCACATTTGCAAGGACAGAGTTGAAAAAGATGATTTCGTTTTAGACATATTTGAGGTTTTAATAGAGTCATGTGTTAGAGTTGACCTGATGGCAGTGAATTTAGTTTGCGTTTGCACAGGGGATGCAATGGTAAGCAAAACACATTGTTCCCTTTTTTCTTGGGACTAAAGGAGTCTTGGTGGTGTAGTTTGTTGTTTGTTGAGCTGTTAACTTCAAGGTCAACAGTTCAAACCTAGCAGCCACTCTTTGGAAGAAAGATGAAGCTTTCTGCTCCCATAAAGATTTCTCAAACACTAGGGAGCAGTTCTACTATATACTATAGGATCACTGTGAGTTGGAATGGATTTAGTGGCAGTGAATTGGCGTTTGATTTTGTGCTCCAGACAACAGTTTAGTAGCAGTGACAGACTGAATAAAATAATAACATGTACATATATAATTATGCACTCTTAAAAGTGATAAAAAGGGAAAGTTACAAGATGTTGAGAACCTATAATCAAATCTGACCCTTGAGGGGGGAGTGATCAAAGAAGATAAATACCCATGAAAAATTTAAGTAAATAATCAGAAGTATGAATCGTAGTTAATTTGGAGGAACAACCAAATAGAAATGTCTTCTGAGGTTTGGAAGTCCTATGAGAGAACTAGAAATCTAAAGACTGCAGAATTACCATTATGTGAAAAATGAACGATAATTGATTCCGTAGAAATGAATGAGCTTACCCAGGGAAAATATGTGTGTGTTGGGTAAGATGAAAAGATGAGGACCCAAAATAGAGCCCTAAAGAACACCATGAAGGTAGTTAACATACATGACATACACTTACTCCTCTCTTAACAACTATAATTATCCAGCATTTCAGATTTATAGCTGTAGTGATTTATAGCTGTAGTAAAAAACCTATTGAACTACTTTGCACATTATAACTTGGGTTTCTTCCCAGTATTTAGCTCCTGACCCACACACAGAGCCACTATTGTCTGTCAGGCCACAGCTGAAGCAGCAACTCTCCAGCAAAAGGCTTTTGCTGGTGTGTTACACCAGGTTGACTAGAGAAACAAATCCAGGGACACTATATGTGTATACAAAAGAGCTTTATATCAAAGAGTAATTGTATATCAAGAAAACATCACAGCCCAGTCCAGATCAAGTCCATAAATCTGATATTAGTCCATAAATCTCTCTTCAAACTCACTCAGCCCATGCAATAATGCAAAATGCAGGAAGATCACAGGCCAATGGGTGCAAAGTCTTGAGCATCCAGTAATGGTGGACGCATCTCCAGGGCTCTGGCTGCCATCAGCATGACTCTACGTGGCTTGTCAACAGGAAGGTGAAGAAGAGAGTGTGGCCCTCCTCCAGGGAGAGAGGAAGTTCCCAGAATCCTCATGAAAAGGTCACACCCATCAGGAGACATCATCAGGCTGTGTGACTTGATCGACAAGTTGACATGAAATGTTGTAACTACACAGCTGGTACCACCCCCACCACAGGAGCTGCCATTACAGCAGCCACCATTGTAGCTTTTTATATGAAAGAGGCTAATTTTGAGGGAAGGCTTCCTAGAAGAGCCCTCAAAAGCACAGGTGGAGGAGGTTGCTGCTGGTGTTCCTCGTTACGCCAGCACCCTGAAGCGTCCGAGTGTTGGAGCAGAAGGGATAAGTGGATATTATAGCAAAAGCTGGCTACCTCCACCATGCCCCAGGCTGCCAGCCTTCCCTTCCAAGCTCTTTTTACAGGGAACTGTTGGTCTCCATTCTTGGCCAGTAGGTGTCACTTGTTTCTCTTTAGGCTGTGGGGATATAGTATATGGCATTGGCTGTGGAGCGGTGGCTTTGAGGGGCATACCCACAGGAGGCAACCCCACCAATTGTCTTGATCCCTCCAGTTGCCTGAACCCCAGAGCTGCCACTGTGCCCTCTAGTCTAGCCACCAGGCCGAAGACTGACCCTGCACCAGCCCTGACAGCATGGCCTTGTGCTCCAGAGTACAGTGTTGCTGTAGTTCCACAGTCGTTCCAAGAGGTCAGCCTGCTTCTCACAAAATACCAATTTTTAATAGAAACCTGGTCTTTGGAACCGAACTCTGTTGATAGATGAGGAGTGGGTATTATAAGGAGGTGTTTCTCTGTGTAATAAAGAGTATACAAAATCACAACTGGGAACATATGTCTATAAAACTTTTAAATCCTCTGAAAAGGATTATAGATTTTGGTTGGTTCTAGAGTTGGGTTATACAGAAAGTTCATGGGAAAATTTCATATCTTTTAATTCCATTTTTCAATTAGCTTTTTAAATCTCCTTCATATTTGGTGGTTACTGGATTGAGATGGGAGTCTTGGTGGAACAATGGGTTACATATTGGGCTGCTAAGCACAAGGTCACCAGCTCAGACCTACCAGCCTCTCAGTGAGAGAAAGATGAGACTTTTCTGCCCCTGTAAAGATTTATAGCATCAGAAATCCAAGAAAGGCAGTTCTACTCTGCCCTATAGTGTCCCTGTGAGTCAGAGTTGACAGGATGGGAGTGAGCAAGTGGATTGAGTCATGCTTTAAGGAAAAATTCCTTTCCCACATTACTGTTGTGCAGGGAAAGAATTAGCATGTTTCAACCACTTTTTTCCTTCTTTTCTCTGCTTTATCTCCAAATTACTCCATTTCATAATTTGAAATCATCTGAAAGAATAGAGAGCACAACTTATAATCAAGCATTTGAAGAAGTATTTGAATCCTCACCCTACCATTTAATAAATGTGAGGTCTTTCACAGATTACCTCTCTGAATCTTGTCTTTAAATTTATTATGAATTAAATGATCTAAAGGTCCACTGTGGCTGCATCTGGTTTTCGCAGTAGGCCAGTAACAAAGGTGAGTTCTGTTTTCTCTTCCTTGCAGACTGGAGGTGACAAACTGTTACTCCAGGCTAGTGAATTGTTTCATGTATGATTATTTGGGCTATGCCCTGGCTCCTCATGGCAGCATGAAACAGCAGATATTTTTGGCCAGGGCAAAAGAGTCTTACATTTTAGTGTTAAAAGTCCTTTCTGGAGAGGAAGTACAGAGTATTTCTGGGTTATCACAATCGAGTGTTTCTCAGCAATAGCATTATTGATATTTGAGACTGGATAATTCTTTGTTGAAGCTAGATCCCGGTAACACTCCACCCTGTAACAACCTGAGATGTCCCCAGAGACTGCTCAATGCCCTCTGGGGGCAGATTTGCCATTTGCTATCATCATCTGCTTCTTGATGTAGTAGCTACCTATACAACTGTGGTAAGTTTATGAAAATGCAGTTGAGTTGGGTACGTATGTGATATCTGCAGTTTTCTGTTGTGAATGCATTATTTCCATTAACAAAAAAATCCCACAACCCATTTCTTCAAAGACATTAGAGAAACAGGCTCTAAACCCATAACTATATTTAAGTACATCTGAGCTTCATGTTTTCTCCCTCAATCCCTAAAAGGTGAGGTGGAATAAAGGGGAAAAAAGGATTTATAGGAGGGTAGAAAGGCAGGGGCAAGAGTGAGGGTGGGGGGTGGGGAGGAAGTTCTAGAATCTGGCTTCCAAACCTCTCTCTTCATTGCCTGACCTTTGGAGTACGGAATTCAACCTAGGAAAATTGCTATTACAACATTTCAGAAATAATCTGTGGGCAGGGTTCAAAATATACCTCTTCCTTCCCGCATTCTCTGCCATACTGTGGTAACAAAGGAGAACACCTGACTTTGGGTTCTTTAAATTCTTATGCCCTCTTTCCTGACGGTCATTGATGAAAAGGGTGATTTCGTGGCAGGAAGTATTTTCTTTTACTTTTACTATGAAAATTTCCATTTTGCTCTACTTTGCACGGGTGAGTAGAAAGTCTTTCCATATAGGATGATGTGCACTGCTCCCTGAAAGTGAGTATAGTCCCCCGAGGCTGCTTGGAGCAGCGTCCAAGCTGGAAGCAATAGTGTTCACTCACATTAGTGTCTTGAGAAGATTCCAAGCTAAGGTCCTGTTTTGAAGTTTGAAAGATCCTTTAAAGAGAGGACAGGCTTTGGGCCAAAGCAGCCTTTGAGGTGGTAACCAGCTCATAAACAAGAGCTGGCATGTGCCAACAAAGTCTCTCATCCTCGCTCCAGAGTTGGCTGAGGAGAGAAATATGTGGAAGACCTTGAAAGTGGAAGAATTATTCTTGGCTTTGGCTGCCATGTGGCTGGAAAGGGAGGGAGGTTGGCTTGATCTCTGGGATCTGAGCATTTCCTTCAGAGGAATGGTTCCACACCTCTTCTTTTCTTGTTATACTTTTTTTTACCTTTCACCCCTTGGTATTAACATTTCAAGGTACAGGAAATGGTTGTATATTGAGTTTTTTAACAGCTCTTCTAGGATAGCCTATT